TCACACACCATTTTTGTTTTGATTTCCAACGGCTTACTGGATCAAATCAGAGAATTTCTAAGACGATTATTATAAGTTATCGTTCCTACTTTCCTTGTCTTTTATGAATATACACACGACTTCAACTGTCTACAAACTCTAAAACGAACACAGACTACAATTAATAGTCGTCGATGGCAGCATGTACGTATTTTGTTGGTGTACTGATGTATGAATGCGCCGTGTTATGGAGTTTATTGGGTGTCGCCACTGCTGAGAATATTGTCGGCGCAATTTTCGTCAAACTCTGTTTTGCAACAATTTATCAATTCTTTTTGACATAATCGCTAACGAAGACTCTGCTTTTCTGAGGTTACATTCAATATTTCTTAATTCAATCATCGACCCTAGTACTAATTAGTAACATTGCCAAGTACATGTGAATGTAAGCTTTCGTGACAAAAAGGTAAACAAGAAAAAAATCACATATTGACCTGTTCAACGAGTATTGTTGCGTTTTCCGTGACTTCGCAAACTGAAAGAACACAACAACGTTGAAATTACTTTCCGAATACGGTATATTAATTCATTCAGTAGTATGCCATGAGTGAAGACCGAAGTCTAATGCGATTTGCTATCACAGTCAGGAATCAAGCTGAAGTATCATGTGAACGATAGCAATAAAACTGTGACGAATGGTCTAGTGATAATGTATATGTGATCGAATTGTTACTGAACCTATGTGTTTTCAATGTTATGAATGCTGTCAACAACAACACATTTTCCTTAGACAGATCGTTTTTATGTAACACAAAATGTACTTCATTCTTAAAACTGTTGAGTCGAACTATATATACAAGGTTTTTCACTGATTAGTAACGTGCGTATAGTAAATAAGGCACAATTTTGAAAGTAGCTTTGCACTGATTCCTCTAAAAGTCCCCGCGATCCCCTCTAGCCTTTAAAGTATGTATTGCATACTAGGCGCCCATCCGATTGGGCTGTTGACTTGCTTCTGTAATGTCCCCAGTAGAGCGTTCGCTTGTGGACACATATTTCTGCAACAAAACAGTATGTCTTCGCATATTGTATACACTGAAAAAAATAACCTATGCTAAATACAAGTCGCAAGATAAATCACTCCCGCATGCAGATGTAAACACAAAGTCTGTTGACTCATATGACTGGTATCAATTTCGATGAGAAACACTCTACTCTGCGTACTTTAATAGTGTATGGATTGGACTACAGTCTTCAGACAATTATGTTTATCTAGGGCTTGGGGGTACTACAGATGTTCTTATTGGGAAAGGGTGTATCAATCGAGCCTGGTCAATCAAGATACTGCTGCGCACACAAACTAATCATCAATGAAAGCTATTCTATGAATAAGTGATATTAGATGATAACGTAATATCACATGATTAACCTCGAATGTCAAAACGAGAAATTGTTTAACATAACTTGAATTGAGCACACATAGACTGATGACGTTTAGAGTGTAAATTGCAACGTAAACAATAAATGATATGCACTGTGATCATACCATACTATTTACATTACAGGTTTAAAAGGGCATGATTTATAAACCGGAGAACTGATCCAAATTTCCACATAATTGAGGCACATATACAATTCATGTGTTAACAGTGCCATACACCATGGAATCGTAGTTTTTGGTGTGAATACAAAGAATCATTAAACAAATGTTGGTAATAACAATGATCGTTACATGCGTACAGATGAATAAATGTGCTTATTTTAATTCTATTTCTTGATGACGTCAACAATGTAATATTCTTACCTTTTCAGCGTTTCGGTGTCATGAATACTTTAATGTGATTGAAGGAGGCCCTATTTCTAAATAAGGCCCGCAATATACCCCCGACATGTATCGAAAAACGTTCACGCTACTAGTTCAGTAAATACTAGACCAATGGATACGAATGTGCTCTTGCCAGTTGTATTATATATAATGGGTCTAAAATGTTGCTCTATAGTTTTAGGACACTTTGCTAAATTACAATACGAGCTCTTGGCTTCAAAACCAAGTTTGCACATTTATGTTTTGCCAGTCACCTATTTGTAGATGTTGCGTCTAGATGTCTAATGTTCAACACGTATGTATGTGCCACACTTGCTTCAAACACATATATACCACCCCTTCCTATTCGACATGTGACGACTAACACAGGTGTACAAACTTTTCATTAAATCCATTATTTTATTACTTTGTTTTGGCTACAATGCTGTTGTGATTGCACTTAATTGTTACGTAGCTGTTCTGCTTTATTTTAGTATTACACACGATGGTTGTGTTCAAACATTGGGAAACTGTGGTTTACAAAGCGTACGTTCTTTAAAATCGCACGTTTTTCATATGCATATATGAATTCGATATTCTATCGCTGGCGTGATTCAGCCTTTGAGTTAAGAATTACTTTACTAGGTCATATCTATACAAAAATGTGTGAATTCATAAAATTTGAAAGATAATTTAAATTTTTGTAAAAAAGTATTTATATAACACTTTCACCTTACACGGCAACAAGTAGTTAATGTAATGCTAGATATGAATAAATTAAGCAATACATTACATTAAAACTACACACAGTCCGTGTGCGTGTGTTTGTATAAAAGTAGAGCTGGAGCCAGTGGTCCGCATACACACCAACAAACTGGAGCTTTTTGTACAAGTGGAGCCTCCAACATGGTGAGTCACAATGTTTCATAATTTATATTAATATTTAATCGAATTTAGCACAATTTTGCGAAGCTTACGTTTAGCAAAAGGTGAAGGTGTGGTTCAATTTATATTAGTTTTAATTGTACCATACCTTCCACCGTTACTAAACCTAAGCTTCGCTAATATTTCTTTGTTCAGTCACGGGATATTCAACTTTTATTTAATTAAACTTAATTAAAACGCAACTCTACGTTGTATTGCATTGTTATTGGCCCTATATAGGAACGCGTTTTAATCGAGTTCATATCGCAACTATATTAAAAGTTAATCCAATGTGTGGCGTTACATCTGTATGTGTACGTGCGTCTGGACATGTATCTTAGAAATGCCTAGTTCAATCACAATCAAACTTTACACATACATCATACATAATATTATACATTTGTGTCACGTTCTGATTCAAAATGGCCAAATGGCGGCCATTTTTGAGCTAAAAAATTATCAAATATCAATATACGATATATAAAAAGTTAAAAGTGAATTCGCGTGACATTTCTCATTGTATGCCTATTAAAAGTATGCTCATTATGAGCAAATAATATAATAATAATACTTTATTCATTACTATATCAGAGAATTATAAATATACCAGATACAATACACCAACAATACTATAACAATTAACCAGACAATTATAAACAAATCATACTGGGTATCATAACATATAGTGTTTACATGCATTACTATGTTTCAATATCTTTCAAGTAAAAACCAGCAATGGGTTTTCTTCTTAAAACGCCAAACAAAACACACAAATATTTCAGCTATACGATACATTCAGTCAAGTCAAGTTTAATCTGAAGTACTATGAAAGCCTTAATCATATGCAACACTGATCCAGTTGGCAGAGTAGTAGCTCTGAAACAGACTGTTTAGTTACATTTGAGCCATGAACGACAAATCTACCCATTGACGTATAATTTGACAAAGAGGTGTACAATGAGAGTAATAGAAGGCACCTTTGGAGTACACCATGACGAAGGTTTCATCTGGTTAAACAATGGTTATTAGTTGCAACAGACAGATGCAGGTAGCCATTCTAGATTATCAGTAAACTGTTTCAGTACTACAGAATATTTTAACAAATGACAAGTTCGTTGATTCTGGTGGATATGTTACTTTTTATTGAAATTGAAGTGTAGTTTTTGGGCTATTTGTATCAAGTGGGGGTTTCCTGAGAAATGATATCATAGTAACAGATTTAGGAGAGTGTGGAGCATTTTTCATGTTTAATAGAAATAATGAAGATATTGATAACAATGTATGTATGCTTCGCAAAAACGTTTTTAAAAAAATGTTTGAATATGATTAATGAATGAAGCTTGATGAAGTGATTGCTGAGTTGTTTTATACGCAAAGATACAACTAGACCACAATCATAATTTTGCATTCAGTTATCACAGATTTTGGTAAGATTGATAGTTAAGTAAGCTGATTTACTAAATAAAATAGCCTACCTACATGCAACAACATGGCTTTTATTATGAACTGTTCTGAACGTCATTAACATCCAAGAGACTGCGGCAGTCTCATGTTAGCTGCCATTTCAGTTGAATATGCCTCTGTGTAACAGGTTGCACTGCATATAGACGTTCTTGAAAAAATGTGAAGTGAATTATAATTTGGTGTGAAAATTACAATTCAAAGTCTCCCAAATAAATTGCTTTTATTGGATTAGATGAAGTTTACATTGGAAAGTGGTCTTATATTTGATAAAATGTATACAATGTTGAATGACTGACATAGTCATAATTGGTAAAGGTTATACAAACAAATTGTGAAATATTAATTTTGAACTAAAATATCTTGACCCCACCAATATCTGTTAATTATAAACAGCATGTATATAGCCTGTGTATTATATTCAATTTATTAATATTCCAACATAAAAATGTACTGTTTATATTCTGTGACATTTCGCGAACATTTAGCTGTTGCTGTTGATATGTTGAAAATAAAAAAATGTTATTTTGAGGGAATAATAATATAAAAATGGTTAACTATAAGTATTACAACAATTTTATCACTTGGCATGCAGCTGTAATGTAAAATAAACAACGAATGTACAAGTTCAAAAACATATTTTGATATATAGATGTTTTGAAAACACAATAGCTATTTGCTATCGAAACCAAATTCAGTTTACCAAAAAAAGGTGACACATACAGATAGATTCCAAAGATTGTTCTAATTGATGCACACTCATTCTTTGTTAATTTACCATAAGTGGCATAACTACTGCAAACAACATATTGTCAAGGATGGATCAGACAATTTATTTCATCTGTAAAAAAACAAAAACAAGACTTTATGATTTTGTCAGAATTTGACTGATCGAACAATTGTATACTTTATGAAGTATGAAACAGTTATACAACTGGACAATGAGATACTTCTTTTTTGAATATCTTCATAATACTTACAACAAGGACAGAGTATTTCTTGAGAACTGGGACCGCTGCATCCACATGTTCCTGAGCATGTACGTGTTTGAATTATAGTACCATATGAATCATCTGAACATAACGGACTCCAAGTACTCCAGCCTAATAGAATGAAGTAGGTTTCTAAGTTGTTTAATTATATATAATATATTGTATGTGTGGTCGTAAGCACAAGAATGTCTTTTGCAATTCTAGCCAAGCTGCAATGAAGAGAATGTATGTATCATTAAATGGGAATGAATACTAACTTCCAGGTATACAACATTTACGAACATAACAATATGTTGGCTCTGTCTGTTCTTCTGGGCATTCAGCACATACACGGGTTCTAGTCTTGGTACCGGCTCCACAAGTTCTTGAACAAGATGACCATGAGCCCCATGCGAGCCAACCTATAATCAATGACATGGTTGTTTACTTAAATCAAGTAGTTTGGAAAAATTAGTGTCCACATTTTATTCAATTTGTTTTTGTTAAATTCCCCTCTATATGTGGGTGAACCAGGTATGCAATACTGACCAAACTTAAAAAAATAGTTATGTATTATTTGAATTTTTTATAATTAAATGCGAAATTAAGCATGCATGTGGATAATTCTATAAAGCACATCGTGTAATTATAGATAATACTGTTGATCCAAATTTTACTTTCCCTACAAAATTGCTACAATACCTGGACATGAAATTGGTCCTGAGCATGTCCGTGTTTCAGTGACAGATCCTGAACATTCACCACCACATACACTATCACAGGAACGTTGTCGTTGCTGAACTCCATCACCAGGACAAGATACACTGCATTCCGACCATGATCCCCAGTCGTTCCAATCTTAAAAATAGTTATATAATAACGAGTCAAATAATCGATATAAATTATATATCATTACATGTGTAAATATGACGTGGGTTGCAAGTAAATTTGTTATCATTTCAGATTAAACAATTAAAATTATATTGTTCAACTTATCGCAACTATTAAATTGTCTTACTGATTTTTAGTTAGCAATCTGTAAAGTGAAATAATTACCTGCGGATGGACAACACTGAGTATTACAATCTGTAGATGACTCTTCTCCTGCTACATTAAAACATATACTGCAAGTTCGCTGTCTTGTTTTAATTCCACCACCACATGTATGGGAACAAGATGTCCAGCTATTCCATGCCGACCACACTAAACGATTAAATATGCTTTGTTTGCAACTTGTTTTAAATTTAAAATTAATCTTAGATAAGAATAATGACATAAATCACATCGCATTAATATATACTTTTTCGTCCACATTTCGTGTTTGTTTATGCTATCCCTTGCTACAATACCTGGACATACACTAGGACCTGAGCATATCTGTACATATGTAGAAGATCCTGAACATTCACCACCACATACACTATCACAGGTACGTTGTCGTTGCTGAACTCCATCACCAGGACAGGATACACTACACGCTGACCATGATTCCCAGTCGTTCCAATCTTAACAATATTTTGATTATAATAACAAGATAAAACTGTTATATCATTTGTATATTATTTGTCAATATATGTGCAAATATGGCGTACATTGTACGACACTTGGTTATCATTCATGATAATAAAGTATAATTATTTATTCTTCAATTTATTGAAACTATTGAGTATTTTTAATGATTATCAACAAACAGTATATTGAAATAATTACCTGCAGATGGACAACACTGAGTACTACAATCTGTAGATGACTCTTCTCCTGCTACATTAAAACATATACTGCAAGTTCGCTGTCTTGTTTTAATTCCACCACCACATGTATGGGAACAAGATGTCCAGCTATTCCATGCCGACCACACTAAACGATTATATATGCTTTGTTTGCAACTTGTTTTAAATTTAAAATTAATCTTAGATAAGAATAATGACATAAATCATATCGCATTAATATATACTTTTTCGTCCACGTTTCGTGTTTGTTTATGCTATCCCTTGCTACAATACCTGGACATACACTAGGACCTGAGCATATCTGTACATCTGTAGAAGATTCTGAACATTCTCCACCACATACACTATCACAGGTACGTTGTCGTTGCTGAACTCCATCACCAGGACAAGATACACTACATGCTGACCATGATCCCCAGTCGTTCCAACCTGTATATGATATCAGTATATACTATCTTTATATTGTAGTAATCAAGGGCAATAGGCAAAAGTGTTGAATCAGTGATACATTTTGTTCTGAAAAAATTGTGGAATATTGTAAATGTAAGTATACTAGTTAAACGTCCTTGATTCCACGGGTAACTAGCTATTAGTAAAATAATAACTAATGATACTATACGTAAATAACAGTAATGTTAATAATAATTTAGTTTAGCCAAAAAAGAAATTATTTCTAGTATTGTACTAATTCAATCACAGACCTTGTACCAATAAAACCAAAATAACAGAATCCATATCATGATGTTGACATTCTTCATTAGGTCTTGTGGTCATTATAATGACTTAAACTCAAAAACGACAAAAAAATCGTACCTGGCCACTAGAGGGCAATATTCACATAACAACTACATTTATATCATCCTATTCCATCGCATGTACATATTGTACAAAGCTGGGTTCTTATGTTAGTTTCTGTCATTATCTATGATTTTTAATTCACAATATGATCTAACTTCACAATTGGTTGCTTTGCGTTTTACAATGGCGGCAAATATATGCGTGTGATTCAAATGTTCTACACGCCCATCACGTTTGACACGTTGGCAGCTAAAGCAAACAATTACCTGCCGATGGACAACAATGAGTGTTACAATCTACAGGCGAATCTTCCACTGTTACATCAGGACACGAACTGCAAGTTCGCTCTCTTGTTTTTATTCCACCACCACATGTGACTGAGCAAGATGACCAGCTATCCCATGCTGACCACACTAAAATTAAAAATATTGTTTTACTTTCAAAAAATATGTCTCTCTATTATCAGCATTTCTATCAGTGAGAAGAAATTACTGTCTAAATAAGGAACAAAACATTAGAGGAAGTAAAATAAGTTAAAGACCGAATCCAGAGACGATTAACACGAAGCACGGTATTTGCATTACAGACACCAAAAAAGCACTGACCACTCATAGAGGAGCGAACCTAAGTACACCAATCCTGACTGTCTTAAACAGACAGCTTGAAATTGCGCGTAATATCATAAAGAACTAAACATGTCATGGTCAAAACGACCTGCCGGATTAGAAAAGAAATCAATGACAAACACATTACTGAGATATTATCGATTGAACGACCACGAAAAAGCGCCCTCCACGTCAAACCGACCCTTAAAAATAACGATTAATGAATATGTAATTTTAATTGATGAAGCTGGCTGTTACTCAGTGCACTACAGTTATTATTTTTGTTTAAAAAGGTAAATATCCAGTAATAGTGCAGAATACATATTGTCCTATATACGTTTGAATTAGCAAGGTTGGTTAGCATTTTAATGCCACTGGGCAGTTGTCACCTCATCAATCTACCGTGGTTGACTACTCTAGTTCAGTAGAAAGAGGCATAACGATTGGAAAACCTTTGGCACAGTATGTATGAAGTTGGCTGGCATTCAAACAACGCACTGTTTATGTAGTGATTTATAGCGTGTCTCCTACTCCTAATATAACATCATGCTTCATTGCTCATATTACCTTCTGAAGGGCAAACTGGTTCCTTGAGACAACTAATAACTTCATTGTCTTCACCAGTACAAATACCATCACAAAATGATCCACAAGTACGACGTCTGTGTTTGATAGAGAGATGGCCGCACGTAGAGTTACATAAAGACCATGGACCCCAGTGGTTCCATTCTGGAATGGAAATCGAGGTAGTGAAAAAAATCCCATGCTTCTCGAACAAACATGATATGATACTACAAGACTCCATATGGTCTAGATGTGATGTTTTTATTCTAAAAAAAATCCTAAATCTAGAACACATGATATCACAGATAAAATTGTGTTAGTGATAATAAGATACTGCAAAGATCTAGCATTGGGCGTTTGGTTCATATAATATTTCGAGTTAGATCATGAATACTTATTAAATGATCGTTAGAAAGGTCTGTAGCATCGAAATGCAAATTTTATGTGAATAAGAACTAAATAGATAACGCCCACGCACTCTTATTTCCCTGCCATCAGATAAAATTGCCCGGCCTGTACATGTGGTCTCGATATTTTATCTAGATTTGAAAATCATATCTTAGAATAGTTCAATACAAATGTGGTACCCTTTATGATTTAAGTAAAAAAATCACATCATAACAAAATGAAAATATTAGAGATAAAGTAAAAACTCTTACCTGCAAGTGGGCAACAATTCGTATTACAGTGTGTTGTCTCATTCCGGTACTGTTCATCACAAGTGTTCACGCAGACTCGTGATCTAGTTTTATTACCTCCGCCACAACTCTTGGTACATTGTGACCATCCCGTCCATGGCTCCCAATCTTAAATAGTAAATATTATTATTAATAAAGCATTGGTGGTTATTAATTATAATAATATGACAAGATGGTGTAAGTCGTTGACTGTATATTTCGGTTTTACTATCATATTGTTTTCCCATTTCCATACATTCACACATGCACATCTGTACATAAATAAAGAGGTGTTACAGGCTATGGGGACTGTCGAAGTGATTTGCATAAACTGAATGGGATCGGCGTTCTCGTATACGAGAGGGGACAATGTTATTTATACCACTTTGAACATGAGACCTGTTGTTCTGTTATTTTAGTCATATTGAAATTTGAAATATATACATAAAATTTGGACAATACTGTAGTTGCAAAATTCAACATACCGTCAGATGGTGCTTCACCATTGGCCTTCAGAAACACAACTGTAACACCCACGGCAGCTAAAACTACTACGATGAACATTGCGACCAGTACAACTTTACAACATGCAGACAGTTTATATTTCGTTGTGTGCTCGTTCGCTCGGGTAGCAAAGTCAAGAGTTTGGTAATCGTCGTCTTTTATGGTAGCTAAAGTAATAGTTTGATATTCTGGGACATCTTGTTCGACTGTAGCGATAGATGATGTAGATATGTTGTATAATTCCTGTTCATTTGCCTTGTATTTTGTCATTATTTAGCTTGTAAATTCACTTTAGACCGGTGCACAAAATGTCGGGTTCACGCACAACGCGTATTTAAGTACCTGTAATGTTGTGTTGCATACGTCGAGACGCAATGCATTATGGGAAGTTGCTCTGCCTTGTTATATGTGTAGAAAAAGCCTCAAATAAAGCATTCCGATTACCCTGACCTACGTTAGGTTCTTTTTTTGACTATGATAATTAGACTGGAGACGGAATTTCTATTGAATCACTCACAATGCATTGCTTACGCCCATAGTTCACCACACCTAGTTGCATTTTATTATTCGCCTTACTTCATGCATGTAGTTTGTAGGCCTATTATATATTTCTAGACAGGCATCTCGTTCGATGTCCTATTTAAAAACGTGGAATGTGCCTTTTCACTATCGATAAATTATGTATCCTATGTATGTGTTCACTATTGCTTTGTGAGGACGCAATCATGATCTCACGTGTTGAACGTATATGACTTTATCATGGCTTTCAACATTTTACCATGTGTATTACATGGAATGATAACTGATGGTTGTATTATTAATGATTTCGAATTTGTGTATCTGCACGTCAATTGACATGATCAATTTAGACCAATATCATCGGTGGCGGCAGAGCGTTAGGTATAGTTTTCTGCAGTGAAGTACTAGTTCGATTGTATGTGTACAGCGCTGGCCCAGTGTGTTGATTTATAAGTTGTTCATACAGCGTACTAAACTTAGCAGATTGACCAGTTTGGTGCAAGTTTAGTACGTGTTATGCCTTTATCTCACACATCATACGGGAAATATTGACGAACGGTACTATCTCAATATTTTGCTTTGAAATGTTAAGGTCCGATTTTGGCAGACACATTGGAGAAGTTAAATAATCTGGATGGGTTAGTCTCGGTATTATGTCAGTAGTTTTATGATAATATAAAGTTATTACGAAAAGACAGTACAGCGGATGTCGATGCGAGGGCGTACTGTCTGAGTGCAAACTTTGAGGTATATTCGTAGTAACCTTATTATTATACATCTTTTCCTTCCAAGGATACATCATGGGAATAAAGAAATCCAAAAAGTTAGAACAGAATCAGCGAACTTATTTGTGTGGAGTCCGGTCAAACCCCGGTTGCAGCCATGTTTGTTTTTCATATTAGAGGGCGCTTACGCGCGTAATTATTCCATATTTGGAATTCGCATTCCCTTATATGTTTGCTATTTTAACAAATTGAAATGAAATCGGTTACATGTTTATTCCTGCGATATTAACACGAACACGTGATTCAATTTATTGACCACGACAAAGCGAATTGGTCAAATTGTTGAGCATTTGTTTGCATGTACTATGCTCTGCCATTTTTTTATGCGCAAAAAATAATTTAAATTTGATCAGAACCACGTTTTTTCTGTCATCTAGGTTTTTAGGAAAACAAATTGTCGAAATGTAAGGCAGTGCACATCATCTTTTGTAGCTGTCCAGCGCCATGTTTATGTGGAAAAATCTGGCATGATATCATGGATCTTCGGTTGGATGGAAACACCAAGTTGAGAATGTCTGTTCAGTAGCGCTTACGATGTGTAATCCAAGATACTGGATAAATAAATAAATAAATAAATAAATAAATAAATAAATAAATAAATAAATAAATAAATAAATAAATAAATAAATAAATAAATAAATAAATAAATAAATAAATAAATAAATAAATAAATAAATAAATAAATAAATAAATAAATAAATAAATAAATAAATAAATAAATAAATAAATAAATAAATAAATAAATAAATAAATAAATAAATAAATAAAT